TTTTTTCATGTGCCTGTTGATCATTTGTATTTCTTCATTGGAGAATTGCTTGTTTAGGTCTTCTGCCCATTTTTGGATTGGGTTGTTTGGTTTTTTCTTATTATGTCGTATGAGCTGCTTATATATTCTGGAGATCAAGCCTTTGTTGGTTTCATCGTTGGCAAAAATTTTCTCCCATTCCATAGGTTGTTGTTTTGTTTTACTTACGGTTTCTTTTGCTGTGCAGAAGCTTGTAAGTTTCATTAGGTCCCATTTGTTTATTCTTGCTTTTATTTCTATTGCTTGGGTAGACTGCCCTAGGAGAGCATTTTTGAGATGTTTGTGAGATAATGTTTTGCCTATGTTTTCTTCTAGGACGTTTGTTGTATCTTGTCTTACGTTTAAGTCTTTGATCCATTTTGAGTTCATTTTTGTGTATGGTGTGAGGGAGTGTTCTAGCTTCATTGATTTACATGCTGCTGTCCAGTTTTCCCAACACCATTTGCTGAAGAGACTGTCTTTATTCCATTGTATATTCTTGCCTCCTTTGTCGAAGATTAGTTGACCGAAAGTTTGTGGGTTCATTTCTGGGCTGTCTGTTCTGTTCCATTGGTCTATATGTCTGTTTTTGTACGAATACCATGCTGTCTTGATGACTGTAGCTCTATAGTATTGTCTGAAGTGGAATATATTTTTTTAATTGAAGTTTAGTTGATTTACAGTATTGTGTTTCTGGTGTACAGCATAGCGATTCAGTTATACATTATATGTATTCTTTTTCACATTATTTTCCGTTATAGGCTATTACAAGGTATTGAATGTAGTTCCCTGTGCTGTGCAGTAGGTCCTTGTTGTTCATCTATTTTACACACAGAAGTTTGTACCTGCTAGTCCCAAACTCCTAATTTATCCTTCCCCACTTCCCCCCGGTAACCATAGCTGCGTTTTCTGTGTCTCTGGGTCTGTGTTTTGTAGATAAGCTCGTTTGTATCACTTTTCTTAGGTTCCGTGTAAAAGTGATGTCATGTGCTGTTTGTCCTTCTCTGACTTGTTTCACTTAGAATGGTCATCTCCAGGTCCATCCATGTTGCTGCATTCTTTTAAATGGCTGAGTAGTATTCCATTGCATAAATGTACCATGACTTCTTTGTCCAGTCATCTGTGGATGGACATTTAGGCTGTTTCCGTGTCTTGGCTACTGTAAGTAGTGCTGCTGTGAACATTGGGGTGCAGGTGTCTTTTTGAATTAGAGTTCCCTCTGGGTATGTGCCCAGGAGTGGGACTGCTGAATCACATGTTAGGTCTATTTTTAGTTTCTTAAGAAACCTCCATACTGTTTTCCACAGTGGCTGCACCAGTTTACCTTCCCACCCGCAGTGCGGGAGGGCTCCCTTTTCTCTACACCCTCTCCAGCATTTATCGTTTGTGGACTTTTTAATGCTGGCCATTCTGACTGGTGTGAGGTGATACCTCGTTGTAGTTTTGACTGAAACTTCTCTGATAATTAGCGATGTTGAGCATTTTTTCAACATTGCCTATTGGCCATCTGGAACTTTCTGTATTGTCTGAATTATAGCTCTCATCAACACATTACTTTCGTGATAAGAGCAATCAAGTTTTTATTTTGGAAGGAAAAGTAATTTGGATGGTCCCTAAAGAGTAGGACAGATGAGTGGATTGTGGTGCCTTCACACGGGAGCCTTCTGTACACCAGGACCTGAAACGAATCCCACGATGTGGCTGAATCTCAGAAGACTGATGTCAAGTGAAAGAAATAAGACGTGGAAAGAACAAATGGAGTGTGACTTTATTGATCTAAATTGCAAAGTAAGCAACACACTACTATGGGGGCCCTCCTTATCCATGGGGGGTACGTCCCGAGACCCCCGGTGGGCGCCTGAGCCCTGCTATGCTCTGTTTCCTCCCGTGCGTATGTACCTGCGGTAAAGCTGAATTTGTAGACTGGGCGCAGCATCACTGCTCTTGTGTTTGGGGCCATTGTTAAGTAAAATAGCCTCAGAAGCGCGGTGCTAAGTGGTGTCTCAGTGCGGTTCTGATTAGCATCTTCCAACAGCTGATGCTGAGCGTGTCTTGCTGTGCCTCCTCGCTGGCCGTGGTGTTCTCTTCTCTGCAGAGATGTCTGTTCAGCTCCTCGCCAGGTCTTGAATTGGCTTTACTGTTGGGTTGTAAGTGTTCTTTTTGTGTTCTGGATACTAGACCCTAATCGGATGACTGGCAAACAATTCTCATTTTGTGGGCTGACTTTTCCCTTCCTTGATAGTGTCCTTGGAAATAGAAAAGCTTGAAATGTTGGTGAGGCCCAGTTCACCTGGCCCTTCTTTGGCTGCTTGCACTGTGGTCTTCCCGTCCAAGAAACCAAAGCCTAGTCCGAGGTCACCGTGTTTCCTTCCGTGTGTTGTACAGGTTCTGCCCTCAGGCCGGGGCTCTGGCTGAGGCGGCCTCTGCCTGCGGTGGAGGTGGGGCCCCAGGTCCGTCCCTGTGCCTGTGGGTGTCCTGCTGTCTCCACCCTGTTGGCTGAGGAGGCCGTCCTTCCCTGCTGGTCGTGTGGGCGTCCTTGCTGGAGGTCAGCTGCCTGTGGAGGCAGGCTTTGTCTCGGACCCTCAGCTCTGTTTCATTGGCCTGTATGTCTGGTCTTGTGCCGGCGCTGCGCCGTCTGGTTACTCCAGCCTCACGGTTAAGTTTTGAAATCCTAACGCGCGTCCTCCAACTTTGTTCTTTTTCCGAAGTTGTTTAGGATTCTGGGTCCCTTGCATTTCCACGTGACTCTTAGGATCAACTTGTCACTTTCTCCAAAATAAGCCACTGGAATTTTGGCAGGGGTTGCACTGAATCTGTAGACCACCGTGAGGAGTGTTGCCACCTTAACATCTTCACGTCTTCCAGCCTGTGAACACGGAAGATCTCTCCACTTACTGAGTTTGTGAAGTTTGCTTCCTGCCGTGTTTTACGGTGCTCGGGGAGAAGCTGACACTTCTTTGGTGGGATGTGCTGTGTGTCGCGCTACTGCGGACACAGCTGTTTCCTTAGTTCAGTTCTTGGGGGGTTTGTTGCTGGTGTGTGGAAGTGCGGCTCAACCCTTAAGGGCTGACGTGTGTCCTGCGGCCTCGCCGAGCCTGCTGTGCGCTGTGACAGGTGTGTGCGTGGCTCTGTGTGGAAGGCCCGGCTGTTTGCAGGTGAGATGCTCTCACTTCTTCCTTTCCAACCTGTGTGCTTGGTGTTCGCTCGTGAAGCCGTCTGGTCTTGGTCTTCTCTTTATGAGACTTTTTTTTTTTTTTTGCTAATTCAATCTTTTAGTTGTTATAGGCCTGTTAATTAGAAAAAAAAGTTTCCTGAGTTAGTTTGAGTGTTTGTAGAAATCTGTCCGTACCATCTTGGTTTCTAATTGTTGATGTACGATTATTCACAGTGTTCCCTCGTGACTATTTTTAAATTTGTAAGTTTGAGAGTAATGTTCCATTGCAAGTGTTTGAGTCTCCTCTCTCGTTGTCTTGGTCAGTCTAGCTATGGGTTTGCCATTTTTCCAATCTTGTCCACTTTTGGTTCTTTGTTTTCCCTGTTGCCTTTCTGCCCTGTATTCCACTCACTGCCTCTCATCTTTGTTTCTTCCTGCCCTCCACTTTTTGGGGGGTTGGTGGTGAGTCTGCTCTGTCTTCTCCTCTCCCACGTTTTTCTTCAAGTGGAAGATTAATTCATTAGTTGGAGCATTTCCTTTTCAACGTTGGCATTTGCAGGTGGGAGTTTCCCTCTAGTGCCGTGTTCCCTGCCGTCTGGAGGCTCTGGTCTATCGTGTTTCCGTTTTCATTTATCTCAGATGATTTTCTGATTTGTGATTTCTTCTTTGACCCATCAGTTATTTGAATGTGTTGTTTAGTTTCCACATATTTGTCATTTCCCAAATTTCCTTTTGTTACTGATTTCTAATTCT